ATATGTTTTTATTGAATTCTTGGCATATTATCCTCTTATTATTCCATTCAAAATTTCGTTCTGTTTATTGATATCCTAATTCTGCTCAACTAAAATTGCAACGGAAACTTTTATATTTAGAAAATTGGCACCACCTTTGGTAGAAATTGAAATCTTCAAATATCAAACTTCTCGAATGTCAGACTTTCTTAATTAGAACTCGAGGACTTTTGAATTATGCTACATTTTTTTTTTCTTTTTCAAACTCTAATTATTATTAGTGCTGTAACATTTTCCTTCAAAATGGATAATGTGCAATGATTTTCCTTTTGATTATTTGTACCTACGAGAATATTTCGTCTTCCAGCATGGTAAAATGTTTTTAAGATTTGTAAAATTTATATTTAATTATATTTGATTAGAGGCGGACCCACTAAAGAACGAGTGGGGTCAGCCGCCCCCATTGAATTTTCAAAAACTTTCAATTCGACCTTATTAAATTTAAATTTTCAGGTTTTTTTTTTTTTCACAATTTATTTTAGCCAATTTTTTGTCTCGCCCCCACTGAAAAATAATTCTGGGTCCGCCCCTGTATTTGATAACTATTATTAGACAAACTTTCGAGTATTTTTGCTACTAATAAGATTTTGCAAGGGAAGGGGCATACAATTGAGAAACTAATAAGTTTCACGTGTACTAACTTTTTTTATCGAGGTTTTTTTTTTCGACTTTGATACCCACTGGTATGGTTTAAAGAAAGCAGTGGAGTAGTCTCCCGGAGCATAGTCCAGTAGTGCAAAGGACAGGAGTGAGGTTATATCACACCTTCCTGGCAGCCGCAATGTGGGTGTTCGATTCTTGAAATATGGAATTGAACTCCTTGTAGGCGCAGTGTACATGCAGCTCTTGTTCCCTAACCTGTTGGGGCACATCCCGCGATTTACCTTCCTCACAAAGTTCTAGAGGTAGGGTGGTGAGGGCACTCAAAGTTGGGATTCAACCTTAAGAAATCGCAGAGTAACAATCATGACAATGAGTGAGAAAATTCGTGGGTAACAATCACGACAATTAAGTATGAGAATAGATTGAATTTAGGGACATTACAATAAACGCCAGAGTAGAATAAATATTATACCCTAATGATATATAGCCCTCACAGAATAAGTAAACAAACTAAGTCCCTATTTGGTCCCCATTTTTAAAATTTTTTTTTAACTGCACATTTTATATGATCAAAAATTTTCAACAATACATTTCGTCTACTAAAAATCTGGTTTTTAACAATACACCAAACAGTTTTAACAAAACAAGGAAATATTAAGATTTAATTGAAAAAGGAAACATAATTGTGGACGCATTTGACGTTTTGTCTCGACTTTCCAAAGAATAATTCATATTCCTTTTCGTAACTCCTTTCGTCAAAATTGAGAAAATCCCATAAAATCTATTAATAACTAATTAATTGGGCAAATTTTTCTTTAACCTAGCTGCCGCCAACCAATAAGAATCCGAGTCGTAGACTTCGTAGAGAGAAAAAGCTAAACATCTTCGTTAGCATATCCCACAGTTTTCTTTCTACATTCTGATTTACAATGAATTTCCAGACACCCGTGGACGATTATTGTCGTGCATGGCAGGCTTTTGATCTCGATGTACCAAAAATCAAGCCAAGTGAAGATGGTGGTCATTTTTTCATAGAAGTTCACATGGAAAAGACGTATTTTTCATTGGAAGAAGAAGATGATGATGAAGAAAAGCCAGATTATCTACTCGATTACGATTGCGACTCAAGTATTTCGACTTTTTGGGAACCCTGTGGGAGGATCGAGCACGACAACTTGCCATTGAATAGAATCTCTAAAATCCTCAGTGAAGTTGGAGTACCATTGCATAGACAGGGTTTCATGATGGATCAAATCTCGGACGAGGCTGATGAAATTGCGAATGCACCCTTCAACAAGAACAAGAAGATTTTGTCCATGATTGTATCGATAAGTATTGTGGCTGTGAAGCCAATTCTGAACCGTCCGTCCAATATTAGGGTTCTGTAAAGCATTGAAGGTTTGCTTATATTTATTTATCTTATCTTATAGTTTTATTGTATTGAGTCTTTTTATTTGGAAATGTTTCCTAGGGTTTTATTTGTTAAAAGAACAATAATTCGGGTCTAATTACTGCTTTATTCATATTGTATAAATCGATTTTTTCAATTATTTTTCATTCAATTTCTTCGTCTAACCACTTAAACTTTGACAACTCATCGGAATTTGGTCTCACCACTTAAACGTTGACAATTTTTCAACGTTTAATGGTGAGACAATGAAGGAGAAAGACTTATCCCCATTGAATGAGAAATAATGGGAGATTCTCTCTTATTTCCATAATTCAATATCTACCTTTTCTATGATCTCGACATACCAAAAATCAGGCCAAGTATAGAGTGTGATCATAGTGCTACGCAACTGCTCGACTTTCTCTGAACCATGTGGGAGGGTCGAGTGAAACAACTTGCCATCAAATATGTTCTCTGATGTCTGAGTGCTATTGAATAAACAAGGTTTCGTGTTGGACGAAATCTTGGTCGAAGCTGATAAAATTTCCAATAAATGCCACAACAAGAACAAGATGTTTGTTTCGATAATTATACTTGGTGTTGAGGCCAATTCTTAAGCTTCCTTCGAACTTCGAAGAATAGTGCTCTCTAAAGCATTGAAGATTTGCTGATTTTTATTTATGTAATTGTTTTATTGTATTAATAGGGCTGTTAAGTCCTTTTATTTGGGATTAGTTCCTAGTGTTTTATTCTATTTAAAAAAAAAAAAAACAATAATTAGGGTATCGTTGTTGCTTTGCTCTTATTGAATAAACATTGAAATTTTTTCAATTTCTTCATGATTTATTAGGTATTTCTTATGAATCAAAATAAGTAGTTTGATTTAACTTGTCACTATTGAGAGAATATTATTATTTCGTCTATAATCTATTTTTTACATTGATTATGGTGGATTGTGCCTAGAAATTGGCATATTTTCTCTTTCTGGTTTTCATGGAGCAAAACTTCAATTTCAATTGTTGGGCTAGTTGTTGGTCTTTTATTATTATTATTTTTAAACAATAGCAATGGTTATTGATTTTTATGAATACAAAATTTAATGTAACAAAAGTATTTTAGTTACATCTTGCAATTACGTGGCATCTTACAGCCTGACCTAGTCATAATGGAGCTTGCTGTGTATACGGAAATTGCACACACAAAAGCAATACAGAATAGATATAACAGGGGGTGGTGGGAGGATTTTTTGACACTTTTTATCACAATATGGGTCCCACACATTAGATTTTTGGCAGAATTTTGTGGAACAGTTTTTCTGTACAAATGGAATTATTCGTCATAATTGCACCAAAGAATTAGTCCCCGTTTGACCCTCATTCTTTTTAAATTTTAATGGTTGGAATATTATTTTATGAAAAATGTGTGGTTGAAAAAAAAAAAGAAAAGTTTTTGACATGTGTGTAATATTATTTTATGAAAAATTATGTTGTTGAAAATAAGAGAGAAAAAAAGAATGAGAATGAGAGTCAAACATGTGCTTAACAATTCAAAGAGATCAAACTGGCTTCAAGACAATTTGTCTAATAAACTCGGACAAAGATAAAAGGCAAACTCACACTAATCATTTTAACTAGAAGAGTAGCCAAATAGACTTGTTCCCGCCCCCACACCCCACCCAACCCTACCACAAAATTTACGCAAGCGATCAGCTAGGCAAGATAAAGCTTCCCGTTTGATCCCCATTAAATTCAATTACATTACATCATATTTTTCTCTTTCCTATTTTTAACCACACAATTTTCCATAAAATAATATTACACGTAAATTGAAAATTATTCCTTCTTTTTTAACCACTATTTTATCTAAAAAATACCATTTCTCCCATTTTTATTTTTAGGTAATGGGGGTCAAACGGGGGCTAAAATCTAGCAAGGCATGTTGCATCGTCCAAGACACATGTTTCTGAATTTAAAAATGACATTTTTATATTGTGGATCGCATTTTATTTACCGTTTCTTTTTTTGTGCGACCTAAGTTTAACATTATAACTCAACTCCTTTGATTGAAGTGAACAATTCGGATCGCTGTTTCAATTTGTTGATAAGAAACAAATTTGAAATAGAGAAATTGCTATTTAAAAATGATATCATATATATGCTAAAATTCTTTAATCAAATGAGCTAATTTCTCTTAAACCTCCTTCATAAGCCCTTGTTTCACAGTCATTTTTAAAATTTATTTTTTATTAAACTCATCTTCAACCACGTATTTTTTGGGGTTCACAATTTTTATCAATTTTTTAATAGTATTTCATCAACTTTTATCTAAATTTACTGAAAAGTAAACTCTCGTCATACAAAAGGGTAAATTCCTTTTTTGTCCTTTATACTAAGCCCCCATTTCGTTCTTATTTTTCAAGCCAAAAAAATCAATTTTTAACTTTTATTTAACATGATTAGTTGTCATTTTTAACTGATCCACTTTTCTCTCTGACGATAAAAAAATTGATTCTAAGAATCAATAACAAACAGACTCTAATATCATTGACATACGAAGGCTCACAAATGGATGATTTAATGGTCCAAGCGGACAGAATATGTCATTCTAGACAAGTGATGCTCGATAATAAAGCTCTCAGGGTAAGGCCGGAGCAAAACGTGACGGTAAGTGCATCCATTGTAATGATTGACATTCTAATTAAATAAGTGGAACAACAAATAAATGAAGCAGCGAGTATTCTATTGGCGCTTTCCTCGGTAAAATAATATGTGTTAGGTGTCGCTTAGTGAATGTTGTTGTGAGTTATTTTCAAAGAATAAAACAATTTAGTAATTCATTATGTATGTTTTTTTATGTATAAAGTAGCAAAATTCTATTTTTAATTAGGAATTTAATAACTTGGTAACTCCGAAAAGAGAGCTTCTATTATATATAAGGAGAGACCTATGTGAGCTGGTTCTCTCCTCACAACGACAGAGAGAGCCTATGACTTTTCGATTAGATCCGTCATTCGTCAACAACATTGCTTGGATCAGATTCAAATATTCAAATCGGGCATTTTCTATTGCCCGAATCGAAATGGGTTTTTAAAATAGTTGCGAGTTTTTGGAAGCATTGCCATTTTCATTAATTTGGGAAACTTTATTTGTTGAAAAGAAATTTGAGCATGGATTCATTATCTGGGGTGAGCGAAGAACTTGCGGAGATCGAGGGACAGATTTCTGATATATTTCGAGCTCTTTCGTGAGTATTATTAAATTCTGTTCCTTTCTTTTCAAAAGCGCTTGTGTTTTACATATAAATAATGTGTAGTTTTATGTATTTATGTATGTTTAACGTGTAGATAATTACGTGCATATTTTGATCATTTCACTAATTGAAATGCAGGAATGGATTTCAAAAATTGGAGAAAATCAAGGACTCCAATAGGCAGAGCAGGCAATTGGAAGAGCTAGCGGCCAAGATGCGTGAATGTAAGAGGTATTTGATTCCACACCTATGCGTATCCCTGTGAACCATGAATCTCGGCAAGGATGGTAGCAACTGGTGAAGTCTGTTGGAAATTTTCTTTTTATAGTAGAAGATTTAAATGAAAAGGTTGATGGATGTTAATAGAAATCAGATAAACAGGGCAATTATTGCGAGAAGATTTATGTTTATTGATAACAGCGAAAGAAATGGAACGCGTTTAGAAAAACTTGATTTTAATAAGAACACGAATTGGGTAATTCTTTCCTCGGAATATTCTCTAATATGGAAATGGGATGAAGTTCAAGCAAATTCTAGCGATCAAACTCAAGTGGTATTAGAAGATTTAGGACTCCATGGAAACCCTGATCTAAACTCTTGAACATATGATGAAAATGTACTAACTACTTACACTCCAGGGCTGGATATGGTAGGGTTCGATCCGAACCAGAATTTTCGAGCATTTAGTTATGGAACCGTTAGGTCTAAATTTAATTAAGGAATCATTATGTTCGAATCCGTACCATAATTAAATTTTTTAACATTTACAATACTAGATTAATCCAATTAATGACATGTTCAATCTTAACTCTTACAACAACGCTATATTAACACTTATAAAATAACGTAGTTCAATTTAATAATATACAAGTAACAAGTTTTTTATAAGTTCCATTAACTGATGTATACAAATTATTTTGAATAAAGTGGAGGAAATTCAATGACTAGAGCAAAAAAGGGGTAAGATGAAGAGAGGCGCAGACGCTTCGATTATTTGAGAAACAATGGAATGATTAACAAAAATTTAGCTCACTCAATTTTGATTCTTTAAAATTTGAATTGCAAAGTTGTGTTTTTGGCTGAAAACAGAAAAATAACATTTGGACTCAATTAATTAGTTGATAAATGAAACAGAAAAATTATACTTTTGAGCTGAATTAATTAGTTGGCAAATAAAATAGGAAAAAATTAAATAATATAGCTTAAAAATTTCAGAAAGTTAGGAAGATTCGGTTTTACTCGGTTCAAGATCTAGAACCGAGAATTGAACCAAATCCATCAGTTCTAGATTCTAATAACTGTTCGGGTATTTTAACTTGATAAAAACAGCTCCAGTCGGTTCATATCCGTTTCATTTAGGAGTTTTGTCCAACCCTACTCTTAGGCATCTTACTTTCATTTCTGGGCTTCAGTTGGCCCAATGTCTTCATTAAGATATGAACATTAATCACAATTTCATAACACCAGCTCAATTTAGTTTTAACATAATGATTAACCATGACTGGAAGGTCATATTAAAAGCAGCTATTGAAGGCAATGGACTATTATGTTACTTGAAGTTTGTTATCATTATTGTTTGCGCTTCACTGAACCTTTTGACCACTTTTCATGATGAACTTGCAGCCTGCGTGTGGGAGATTAAATTAAGTTTATTAGTTCTCAGGTATTTCCTGGTTTAAAACCTATGGTTTATGAACCCGAGAAATGGGTAATGCAATTTAGAGGAAAATTTTGAAGTACTTATGAATGGATAGTGGATCTATGTTCAAGTAAGTTAAACTGAACTTGTTTAAGTTTTATATGTTTTCTTCCTCATTGGAAGTTAGGGTTTATGCCTCCCTTCTTAACATTTTACCATTATGTTCCCCTTTTTTGTGTACTCATGGGGTTTCATGCCTACTCCCCACTAATTAGGTGAATTTTAATGGAAAAAGGTAAGCAAATTAATGAAATTCAAAATCATGATATGAGCAGATTCTTAAGAAGTTTCCAGTCCAGACAAAATCGGTTAGAGTGATTTAGTCAAATCACACCTACATCTCCAACCCAGTATCCTTCTTGTGTACCCAAGTCATACTAGATTAAACTATGTTATAATCTTTGTTCTTCACAAGAACCAACTGCGCATGCCACTGTAAGACAGTTCACACCATCCATGGTGCTTTTACCAATTAATAAAATGATGAAGGGATTACAATGAATAACGTACTTTGTAATCCTAAACAAGCTAATTAATGACTGAACATTTAGTATCTTGGGTGAAACATGAGTGTGTTACTTTTTCTCAGTGCAGATCGTTCATGTATTTCTTATATATGATGTCAAGAATGATGTCTTAAATAAAGAAATCTTCCCTAGGTTTCCACACAAAATAAGAGTACTATGTATCGGCCCGAATCGTTGACTATTCGAGTGTCACTAAATAAAATTTAAATTCTTTCATAAGAACTAAAATAAGAATACGAAATAATTTTTTTCTTCAATAAGTAAATAAATTGTTGTCTTATTATGTAGCAACGAAAAATAAATAAATAAAATAATTTCAACATAACGACTAAATTAGAAATGTAAAGTTGTTGTTTAAACACAAAATAATTTATTAAAATTGGCCTATTTTTTTCTCCACGTTGACTACCTCGAATCATTAATTGCTTAAAAGGGGGAAATATCATAGAGTGAGATTTATAAAATCTCAATAAGTACGTCATGAATTATTATCGTGTATAACTTAAAAGAGGCATAATAATCATAATCAATATAATGGAGACACAAGAATTTTATTGAGTATAGGTAGTAAGAATTCTTATGTGTAACGCTACTAACCTCCGGTCCCCTTAAGATAATCATAATCGTATTGTACAATATGGAACCCATAATAATTTTCTTGAAATTCATAATATAATAATAATTCAACATAAGTAGCGTACTTACATTGAAATTTAGAAGAAAGAGTAATAAAGATTGAATTGAATTGCTTGATTCCTCTACAATTTTCACCTCGGCTATGTACGTGTATATGTGTATATTATTTGGACTGAAAAATAATAGTGAGTGATTGCATGTGAATGTGAATGAGGGGTTTAAATAGAACAAGACTAGACATGCATTATTAAGGAAAAACCCATGATGGTAGAAATTGTTCCTTGAAATTTGTGAAATGAGCAAGAATCTCTCCCTTATTCCTACATTCATGCATTTGCACTACACATTACTTTATGTTTGGTCAATCAAGCATATGACAAAAAGAGTCTATCAAGAATTTTCTATATAAGTGTTTGAACAAGAATTCAACCTTTCTTTAAAAGGAATTAACATTTATAGTAAGTTTGTTACAAGGTCATAGAAGATGGATTAATCCCTCAAATGAGCCCCTACATTTTCAATGCTGATAATTAGATACAGAAATTCGAGTGCGGGTATTATACACTAGGTTTGAAAAACCAGAAAGTTTGCCAAGGGAAAATTCTGCAATGGTCAGAACAGTTTAATCCTATTATTTATTTCACTGGAGATCAAGTATTGGCCACTGTATAGTTGTATAGGGCACAATAGTTAAATCTCTCACTCTCTCACACACACACCTGGTTTGAACTCAATCTTGATCCTTCCCTTTTTTGCCCTAATTTTGATGTCTGATGAATCTTACATGTGGATTTATGCTTCCATTTGAGACGTGTACTAGTTTCCTAAAACGTTTTTGTTTTTAACTCAACAGCGCTTAAACTCGACAAATTCCTTTCTCAAAAGAGAAAATCTCTACTTTCAGAATTGGTTTATGTATTTTACTATTCAATAATAGTCCATTACACACTCAATGTTCTCTGCATATATTTAGTTAGACTTGCCATGCTTTATGGTACTGAGTGTTAGGTTGTTAAAGGAAAAATTGAAAGAGTATAAACATAATGGATAAGAAGAGAATGAGATGTGATGTGATCATAATAGGATGGATAAGATTAGAAATGAAGATCTCCACCAAGTATAGGTGGCATGGATTGAGGATAAACAAGGGAAAGACAACTTTTTCTACTTGAGTATGACTTGTGTAGATCTGAAGATTTCTCGTTTACAAGAGCAATGAGATCTTTGTAGCACAGGTTATAGACAGTTATTAATATGACTTCTTGTAGGGGCGAAGTATCTAATCTTATTGGATTTTAGATAGTGATCAATCCAATATGCACATGTAAATAATAAATTCATACCTAAAAGTAAATAATTAATTCACAAGGACGAAATAATTAGTTCAGTTTTTACATTGCAGTTTAGGACTTAAGTGTCAAATTTCATTAGGCCCCTGTTTGACAACCATTATTTGGGGAATATAAAGTTTTGAATACTGATTTTTAGGAGAATTTGTGATTAAAAAGTTGGAAAAAAAATTGAATTTAAATTCAGAATATTTTATTGTGTAAATTTGTGGTTAAAAATGAGTTTGTAGAAAAAGAATTTGAAAATAATGGTTGTCAAACAGGGGCTAAATGACATTTGTAATTTAACAGGTGAACCGTTTAAAAAATTTCTTTGGCTGAGAAGGGAAGCAAAAGAGATTTTTTCTAAATCTCTAAATACTGGATTTCCTGTAAGTATGAATAGATGGATAGATGCTAGTAGTTGATGGGAAGGATGTATTACTATTACATGTATATAAGCTAGTTCTTCATCTTGTAGGCTCAATCCTATCAAAGTTCATAATAAAAAGCAACAAAATTAATTGTCATTTAAGACAAAAGAGAAATGAGTGCAGATGGGAGGAATTTGTTGTCCTTTCAGTGCAATGAAAAATGAATATATGTCATTGTCTACAACCATAATAAACCATCAAAGAGGAGTTTCGTGCGATGATGCTTCTCTCTATCTTTGTCATGCACACAAAGAGACACATGCGTACTCAGAGAAGAGCTGCACAGTAACCTCTCACTTTTTCTCACTCTCTTCCCCCCCGCCCCCTCTCCCTCTCCAGGCTTATTAAAGAATTTGACAGAGAATCAAAGGATTTAGAGTATAAGAATGATTCAGGCACAAACAAGATGCTGAGTGAGAAAAAGCAATCAATGGTCAGATTCCTTGTCAAACTTTAGAATGTTTTATATGCTAGAAATAATTGATTTGTTACTCTCAAATGACTTGTCTACCCTTGTGCAGATTAAAGAGTTGAATTCGTATGTGGCTCTCAAAAAACAGTAAGTTCCTCGCACAGTTACCGCCTTCTAATTCATAGAGCATCTTATTGTTTAACTACTGTGTTAGCTGTTCTGTTTGTTATTTCCCTGTCTTAATTACATCATTTAATATTTCTGTATTGCTTCCACAATAAGGGAAATTATGTTAGTGAAAGTTCCAAATCAATCATGAAAAATAATTTTCCATTAATAAATCATATTATTGTTGCCTTACTGTGGCTCTTGAATTCTCGTATTTCTGGCCTCAATAACTTTATGTCCTTGTATTTTGTCTGTCTCCATCCTAACTAGTTAAAGGCTTCATTTGATCTTGTATATGGAAAATTTTAGGTTTTATATAGTTTGATGATATATTAATGTGGAAATTTATTTTACTGGAATACTGTCTACCGATAAGTTTATGATGTTCAATACACCGAAGTGTATGGTTATGCAATTGATCAGTTCAGTTCCAAACATGTTCTTTTCTGTGTCCATTTATTTATTTCCTATTTCTCTGAAGTAAATTGCTAATTAAACTGAGCCAAACTGAACTAATGTCAATTAGGTATCAACAAAAGTATCTTTTAGAGCTGCTCTTTATTTTTCCCAGTTACATTAAATTTAAATTTTTCTCACTGTAGTATGCATGTGACACACTTCTCTCCACCTACTGCAAGATGAGTAGGGTGCATATAGTTTTCTACACAGTGAATCTCTGCATAGTACTGGTTTATATAATTTTCATAAGCTTGATGCCTATGAAAAAAAAACACTGGCACATTATCACTCAGTTGTCCAAGTAACTGAAAAAGCTCTTTTATGAGCAAAAGCATATAAAGGAGAGAGATCAAATTATGATTTTGAAGGTAGGGGTATGGATAGGCCATTCATTGAAACAATCAGTAAAAGACATTTTTGAAGAGAAAACAAGCATGTTTAGTGATGATCAGATAATGGATGTAGCTAATGAGAAGCCAAAATTTCATTCAGAGTGGAAGGAATGATAGGATTTTTTTTGGGCTGTGGTATTAATTTGGTGAAGCTTTTGATGTTAAGATTTTTTTCTATTATTATTTTAGTGTGATGATTCGGTCTAGTTTCATTTTGGAAGTGCTTGATTTTCCGAAGCTGAAATTGATCACAACCAAATGGAGAAGACTGTCCAAATTTTTGCACTCGGACTGATTTCAGTTCATAAACAGATTTTGATCTCCCCTAGTGTGACATATTTCCTTACAATTACCTCACTCGAAACATCTACATCAGAGGAACAATATGATCCAGCTCATGATGGAGCAACCTTAATGACTTCTTAACAAAGTTTAGATGCTTGTAAACAGGTTCTTATGATTCAGATGGAGAAAGTCAATGGTTGTTTGCAGTTGCGAAATTTTAGATTTTCTCATCCGCACTTAAACATGGTCTTCATTTGTTAGTTCATTTTAAAATTCTCAGAAAATAATTCCTTTAAAATCGTAAGCTGAAGTTCAAACTTTTTCATTCGGTGCTTGGATAACGTTCTTCATTGTTAATTTCTTCCTTATGTGCTAAGCTGGTGAATAGTTTTATTGTCATGTTATGCAGTTCCTCGTGCAGTTATAATTTGTATTTTTCTTAATGATACTCTAGGTACACGAGCAATCTTGATAACAAGCGAGTAAATCTCTTTGAGGGTCCTGGTGAAGGATTTGCAGAAGAAAATGTCTTGCTTGCTTCCGGTAAACAACCTCCCTCCACAATTCCCATCTCTGCCCACCCACAAACACAAAGTAATGATAGAAAAAAAAAAAAAAAAAGAATTGACATTACGTTGTGGGTTAAAATGTTTGTAACATGTAAGATTGTAACTGGATTCATTAGAAAAAAATGGAAAAGAAAAGGCAAACAGAAAAGTACTGGTATTTGCCATTTCTAATTGTTATGTTTTTTGAAGAGTGGCTCCAAGGAAGGAGCAGGCAAAGATCAAATTATCTGAGGTTAAATTGTATGTTAGTGTGGATATGGGAAAGAGATTGCGCCACTATTTTGGGGCTAGCTTCAGTGCATTCATTAGATTTTAGAATCTGATGAAGGCATAAACTTTGGAAAGATTTATTTGTTTTCACCTCCTTCTCTTCACATTATACTATTGGAAATGAGTTGATACAAATTTATTTTCTTAAGACTCCATCACTACTTCAATATTGGTAAAAGATGAACATTTTTCTTAGCCTCTATTGCTACAATATGTGGGTAAAAGATGAGCTAAAGAGAACATATACCAAGACCCATATTAATGCATAGTTTAGCTTATTGAAATTATTCAGCAACCAAATTCCATACATAAAATTAAAATTGTTGAAAAGAATGTAACATATAGCCACTGGATTTTTTTTTAAATGCTCTTTAAGATTAATAATTTCATAGCTATAAAGACTGGAAATATTTAAATTCTTGACATTGCAGCAAAGTTGGTAGGTATATGTCAGGAGGTTCCAACAATTGAAGTGATAAAATGCTTTCTTTTTTGTTGTAACATCACAAAATTGCTTTTTTGCTTGAATTTTTGTTCACAAATTTGTTATCTTTCTAGTTTATTTCTTCTAATTTGTTTTGCAATTTGCTTGAATCTATGTTCAAATTTTCACCTCATGGTGTACACTAATTAATGGAAGTGCGGAATACTTTGATGATTTTAAATCCTAGTATATGTCAGTCTGCTGTGTTCACATTTTGCCACAAATACTGTTTTACTTGTTTAATTTGTTCTCTTTGGTGAAACTTTCTGTGGATGAACACAATATTGCAGATATGACAAATCAGCAACTAATGGATCAGGGAAATCAGATGATGGATGAGACTGATCAAGCAATTGAGAGATCAAAAAAGGTTAGTAGATTTCAATGATTAGGAAATTTCCGAGAATTGTCAATTCGATCACTTCTTTGCTAATTGATTCATTGCCAACAAGATATATCATTCCTGTCTCCCTCCTGTGTCAGGGGTATACTGAATGAAGGCATTTGTGATTTTTATGTGAGGGACTTGAGTCTGCTTTCTGGCATTATTGTTTCTAGGGTTTTGTCTGCTCACTATTATTGTGTGTGTGTGTGTGTGTGTGTGTGTATTTTATTTTTTATTTTTTTTTTGAATTCTAAAAAACCTAGTAGTCAAACTCATGGGAATCAAAAATGACATTTTGTACAAACAAATACCTGATTCATGCTCTGGAATCTGGGCGTGACAAGTTTGAAGACAGTGTGCATTGGATGTAATCTTAGATTGCATACAACACTGGCCAAAACACATTTCCTCGTAGTGAGTGTCTGTATCGACGCACCAGGTTTTCATAGTAATAGATGGTTTGATCGTAATTAAGGTGTATTTGGCAATTGACCTTGCATAGTTTTGATTTTCACTTACTAATTTGTTTTACAAATGAAAATAAATAGTGTGTGGTACTACAAATAGAAAAAGTTCTCACCATCTTTTTGAAACAAGAGAGACAGAACCTAATTGTGCACCCAAAATCAGTTGCCTTGTTAAACCTTATTTTCTACTTGGGTTGTTGTCATTGAGTTAAACAGGTCCAAAATTTGTGCCCAATAAAGGAAACAAAGTGCGCTGACTTTTATCCAGCATAATCAAGCTAACACAGAGATTGATTAACACGCAATTAAAGAAAAAACTAGAAAGTGGAGAGGAGTCAACTTGTGGACGTCCTTT